CTTTCCCTCTCTCTCCTTAGAGCCCTCCTGCAGACTGATTGGTCACTTGTTTCCCCCCCGTAGAGGGGTTGCTGAGTACATGCTTTATAGCTGGACAGTTCTGATGGCTGGCTCAGTGTGGGTCACTTGTCCACAATGATTCAGTCACCTCTGGCTAGAGGGGAGGCTGTAGTCAGGGCCATGTCAGAGCTCTGGTATCAACCTGCTGGCAGTTTTTGAAGAGGGAGAGGAGGGGACCAGGCAGACTTCTGATTGAGGTACTCCCATAATCTTCCATTGGCCTTGTCTCCAGCATGCCCTCAATTCTCAGCATGTGGAATATGGAATGAAAAGTGCACAGTCCTAGCCCAAAGTGCCCATAATCTATGAGGGTGCCAGACAAACCAGCAGAGATGGATCCATGAATTGCTTTGGCCATTAGACCACTTAGATACAATAGTAGTACACTGATGGCAGTGAGTAAGCAGAAAACAAAACCATACTGTCATGAGGCCGAAATTCTAGTGAGACTGATGACAAACACAATATATATCAACAGAATATGCTATATTACAATGGAAATATAAAAATATCTCAGATGTCAAGAGTATTTGGATATGGCATGAAAATATGAATATGAATGATTCAGTTTCAATATAAAAATATTTAAGTTTCGAAGTGCTAAGAATGAATCAGTAAAGGAGAACGGGACCTATCATTTTAAATGGCATGACTGTGGAATGGTTCAGTAAGAAGCTGACATGCAAGTGAAGACTTGAGCTGAGCCAGCAGAGCCCCAGAGCCCTGGAGGGGCACTGCAGGCACTGAGAATAGCAGGCCTCAAGGTCTGGTGGTGTGTGGGTACACCAAGTCCATGGAGTACAGAGAGGAAAAGGTTGGGCCTGAGCTCTGAGAGGACAGGACACCTTGTCCTTAAGAGCCCTGCTGACCATTGTCAGGCTTTGTGCTTTTCCTCCAGGCCAAGAGGCTGTTGGGGGAAGGAGCAGAGGGCTTTCTATATACTCTTTGACACCACAGCTGCTTATATTTTATTGTAATTTTACAAACATTTCTTCCTGCTTTGTTTTCATTCTTTTTATTTTAGATTGGCTTCATCAGAATGGAATCCTTTGATTGTCTTAGAGAATGTCAAGGAGGTAAAAAACAATGGGACTGCTGAGTGGCAATGGTGGCCTTTGGGAGGGTCTTCTGCTGGGTCCCCTGCATGCACCCCAGCCTCATCTCTCAGGGTCTCTGGATCCTTTTCAGTTCCTTAGACCCTGTGCTGGAGGCATCTTCAGAATGGATAGGGGTCAATTCCCCATGTTTTCTAATAGGCACTCTGAGTCACAAAGAAGGAGCCCAGGGTCATGCAGGATGAGCTGCACAGAACCAGACAAAGAAGATACTTCTCCTCTAATGGCCCCTCTCAGGTGATCCTTTCTGATGGACAGCCATCCTGTAGTTGTGATGCAGCAAGCCACCTCTGTGTGTGAGTGGTACAGACTTACAGTGCTGATGTAAATTTCTTCTTCCCCTGGGAAAATTATGACATCCATCTTAGCTGAAAGAATTCTTATGTGGTCATGAAGGGAATTTTGTGTGGACAGACCTGAGTCTGAATCTGGGTCCTGCCACTTACCACTTCAGGGCCTGGCAAGGGACTCAGATTTGTGATTCTAACTCCTCATGAATACATGGGGTGCTGCTGCCTGTGTTCAGTTCTGGTACACAGTGGAACTACACACATCTGGTCCTGGCATAGCTCATGACACCCAGCCATTCAGTAGGTGGAGCTAGCCAGGTATGTTATGGGAAAAGTGAATAGTTTTAGAAATCAGCCTGTTTTCTTTTGTATTTTTTTCTTTCCTGGTATGCTTCGTGATTGATGTCCTCATCCAGCTGGTTGATGTTCATCTTCCAGCCCTGAGAGGTCAGTTTAACCCAATTAAATGCTGGGTTGCCTTGTCCCCTTTCCCTGTAATTCTCAGGAGTCTCCTGATAAAAAACAACCTTATAGTCTCAAAGCATGGCTCCTTTATGATTAGTAATGAATCTGCACTAATTAGGCAGCAAAAAATTATGTCAAGTGCTCTTCCAGGCCTGTTTGATCAGAGCTGTCAGTTGATTGCCAGGACTCTGCTGCCTCCACGAGGGATGGCTTTCAGGAGCTGCCTTCTTCCCTTGTCTCATACAGAGCCCTGAGAATGGTGCAGCATCCAGGTGAGGCTGACTCCTCACCTCAAAGGAGACAGTTCCATTTATTCATTTCTGGGCTTCCCTTTAATACTTACTCTTTTGCTCTTTGATCTGACTGATAATGAGTGACAAAATATTTATTCCACAGAAACTGGTTCTGTCAGCTTTCCTCACCCCACTATGGTGGTAAAGAGCCCAAGTACCATTTTTCTCAGGTTGCCTGGCACAATGATTATGTGTTTACACAAGTCCTGTGTCAAAACGTGTACACTGTGCATGGCTGAGATTATAATGACAATGTGTAGAAATATGTGGCCTTGTGTCTAAGAAAAAGATGTAATGTATTTAAGAAAAAGTTTGAATTACTCTCTAATTAAGACTTTTGTGTCTTATAAGTGAAAAACTTTCCCTACACATTGGACTTGAAGAATTAGTAAAATGTAGAATTTGGGGTTTATTCACCTGGAAAGATAGGTACAACTGTAGTATCAATATGTTCATACCATTGGGGATTTTTTGCTGCTCTTATTAAGAGTGTTATTCAGCTAAGATGTAGAGAATTTCCTGCTTATTTCTTGTCATTTTAGCTTAAGAAAATGCATGGAATGTGTGAGTATGTGCATATACACAGCACTGGGGTTGCTAACATGAGTAAGTCATGGTTCCTGCCATTGGGCAGCTGATGGCAGCCCCTGCCTTGTGAGCAAAGAGTTGAAACACTGTAGTGTGGGGACAGAGACTGAGGTACATAGTCACTGTGTAGTGGGATGTGCAGAGGGGCTGGCTCTTAGCCTAATTACCAGAGATATTTCTACCAGAGTGAGTTTTGAGTTTCAGTGAAGAATGGCCAGATGTGAAAGCAGTACATCCCAGGCATAGAAAATTTCAGTGAAGGCTTGGGAGTCAGACTGCAAATGCAGGGCAGAAAGTTATGAGAATTGAAGGGGCTGTGTGACAGAGGCCAGATACAGAGAAGACAGGCAATGGAGGGAGAGAAAGTCAGTCCTGATGCCGGAGGCCGTCTGTGCTATGCTCTATAACTTCAACTCAGTTCTGCAGTTGGTCTCATTGGTGGGTTAGATGGGAAGTATGTATACATGATGGGTGGATGAATAAATGGGTAGATGGATGGATGGATGGGAAAGTCTCACTAAGGCAAAGAAACCAATTTAGAGACTTTTGCAATTGCCTAATAAAGAACTGAGGAAAACCTAACCAGTGTGGAGGTGCTAGAAATAGAGAGAAAAAACAGACATGAGAAAAAGGAGATGAAAGGAGGTATTGAAAATATGAGTTGAGAGAAAGGTAGGTTCATTACCAGTGTTGAAGAAAGCTTCCAGGTGTCAGACTTGGATAATCAGATGGGTGATGACTTAGGAGGTCTGTGGGTAGAATCCATTTGGTGAGGAAGATAATTTGTCCAGCTTAGGACATTTGGACAGCTAAAGGCTGGTCCAGCAAGTAATTTGATTTTCAAGTCTCAGTTCAAGAGATCAAAGTAGATGGTGTAGATTTTGGCATCAAATATTTGGAAAGACCTGTAGGGGACAGTTATGCACAAGGATGCCTGCAGAATGAGAACAGGTGGGTAAGCTGGAAGATAGTGGTGCTGCAGCAGCATGTGAAAGATGACCGATACAGGAATTGCATCCAGGGTACACAGAGTGAATAGTCAGAGAGACCCAGAGAAGCAGAGCTGTTGTGGATGCAAACCTGCAGCTTTTCAGGGTATGGGCTCTCAACAGAGGCACATGGAACTGAGTCATCCAGTAAAATCAGGACTGGCATCCACCATTGGCTTGATCTCATGGGTTCATTTGTTACCTTGGTAAGAACATGTTTTGTGCCCACCTGGTGCCATCAGCCAGTTTGCATTAGATGTAGGAGTGCTTTGCAGGGGATCATAGAGGTTGCAGCTGGTCTGAGAGGAGAAGTAGGAGGGCACTGCAGAAGAGCCATCATTTGTAGAGAACCAGTGCATGGGCTATGTGAGAAGCTGCAAGGTGAACCATTTACTGCTACAGGAAGTAGGTCATGTTTCTATCTGGCTGCATGTGCTTGTATTATTGTAAGTAGAGGTTTTGTTCACACCGATCAGTAGCGAAACAGTGTAGTGTGCTCTGTACATTCATTAATTTGTTTTAATATATAACCTGTTCACTCCATTATTGAATATTTGAATATTGCTAAAACATCAGTCTTCTTAAGAGACCAACATTTCACATTTTTCTATAGTTTTCTTTCTAGCATCCCTTCAGAAGTGCTGTCAGTACTTCTACCGGTGTTAGGAATTCTACAAAACAGATGTTGCTTCTTGTAGAATATCATCTTACAGATTCATCTGACTCTGAGGATTACCTTGAACTCCTTAGTGAGATGCCCTGGGCCCTTGATGTTCTGGCCCCCAGTCTCTCCGGGTCACACCCTGGGTTCCAGAAGGAAGATTCAGCCGCTCCTTTTTCCTGATGCTGTTGTGCTCTTTTTCCACTGTGCGCACCTCTCTTTCTCCTTGCCCTTTTCTCTAGGCAGCTGGGCACACCCTGCTTTTTCTCTAGGATACTGTTCCAGTATTGCTGCTCATGAGGCCTTCCTGGTCAGGGCTGACTATTCCCTAACCTCCATGGAGCTCCTTCCAGCTCCCACCTGTTGAAGACTGAGTATGCAGCTTTGCTTCTGTACACTTCCTTCTTGATCCCATCTGGAATTCTGATCTCCCACCTGGCAAGGGACACTTGTGTGTACCTGGCTCCTTGCCTGGCCCTCATTCACATGCAGGAGCTGCCAGCCTGGAGATGCTCATCTTGTCCTCCGCTTCTTTCTAGGGAAGCAGTTCAAGTGCACTGTGTGTGACTACACGGCGGCCCAGAAGCCACAGCTGCTGCGGCACATGGAGCAGCATGCCTCCTTCAAGGTAAGAGGACTTGGGAATGGAGGCAGAGACTCTGACTGCAAATGCACCACATTTGGTGCTGCCTTCCCTTTCAGATCCCTTAGCTGCCATGTATGGAGTCCCAGTATATCTCAGTTTACTCTGTACTTTCTCTTTCCAGAAGTGTAACATTTCTCTGTACTTCAGAAACCAGGGCAAGGAACAGTGTGTAAGAGCAAGCAGTCAGAAGACAAGTCATGCTGTTAACCACAAAATGGGATTTAAAGGATGACTGCAGGCTTTAGTGGCATGTATTTGTGCGTTTAGATCTTGGTGCACTGCAGGTGAATCACCTGGTAAAACAGGTGTAAAGGTTGGAGGCAGTGCTCAGGAGTGGCCACCAGCATGAGACAGAGGCTCAGGTGGTGGTGGCTCTCTGTATCTTTTAATATCTTTAAGTCGTATTTTTTAATGCAGGTAATAATATCTGGTTAGCCACCACATAGTACAGTTACAGAGCATAAGAACTGTTGTCCAGCAGATTGTCTAGTTAAAAATTCTGCTCACTTGGGGCACCTTGACTCTTAACATTAGTCCTGCTGTTGGCACTTACACATGGAAATGAAATCCAAAAAATTTGCAAACAAGTTGCTCTAAAATGTTTTTTGAAGTCATGTGTACCACAGAATCCCAGAGAATGGTAGAATGTGGAATGGACTTTTGGTTACCACACTCATAGCTTGCATCTACTGAGCATCTCTTAGTTCATGGCACAGCGCCATGAACTACACATCTGTGGAACCCGTTCTCCCCACAGTACACACTGTTTCCCCTGGTTTGTCAAAGAAGAACCTGAGCCACAGAAGTCAGCTGATCACTCCTTAGTCTTTTCTGCCGTATCCCTGTCTTCCAACTTCAGTGGTCATTATCATGTTGACTAACCTGTGTTCACCACTTGTGAGGTGACAAGGACCTTCCCCAGCAACAGACTCACCTCATTCTCAAAACAGCTTATGGAGATGAATTTGCCTCATTTCTTCTCATGCAGTTGAAGGAGCTAAGTGGTTCAGAGGGGGTCATCGGCTTATATATATCTTCAGTATAGGAGTGAAGGAGCTGGCGACCTTATGCTTCTCTCTTTACATCTTCTCAGAACTTGTGAGCAGAAAGAGAGGAACTGGAAAAACTAAGGCTGCTGCAGCCTTTTGCTTCTGTGATGTCTATTCTCAACATGAGTTGCTTAGGTAGGATCCACATACCACCTGATGGGAGAGCTGCAGTCTGAATCTGGGAGGTCTTTGGTGTTAACGCCTGTATTGTACATAGCTGAAAAAAGAACTTCACTTTGCATTTCACGGTGCATGATGTATTTCTTTGGGAGACTCTAGACTTTCTTAGACTAGTGCAGTTATGCTAGAGAACAGATAGCTAAGCCAGCTGTCACTTTACTGATGAGAAATTTAGACCCAGTGAGGTAGTTATTTTCCTGGCTACTTCAGTTTTGGTGGGTTTTGCATTCATGTGTAGTCTTCAGCCTTGAAGTCCTCATTGTTTTCTAAGACTGGATTCTCTGGTTAGGTGCAGAGGAGATAAGATATTTAGTTAAGAATTACTCACATGTATGGTTACTACCTTTTTCCTGCCATCATGCACTTGGCATGGGCCTGGAGCTGCTGCTCTGAGCTGGTTTCTCTCTGGCTCCCAGTGGATTTAGGTTCCCTTCCTACTAAGTTGTGCTAAAACTGGGAATGAGATTCGGGCCAGAGCAAAGAGTACTAAAGCCAGCCTGGGCCTCTCTCGTTCTTACTCTCCTATGCCGGTGAGTCTAGGTGGTATGTCTCAGGTAACTGGAACTAACAGAGCTACATGAAACTGCCCCTGCCAGCTCCCTTCATCCATACGGAAGCGGTTACTCTTTTCTAGCCACGCCTGTTCTCGTTTCCTCTTGCTGCGTGACTTACCATCAAGTTAGGCATTAAGCAGCACACATTTATTGTCTTACAATTCTGTGATTCAAAAGTCCAGTATGGTTCTCACTAGGATAGAATCAGTTATTGGCAGAACTGTGTTTCCTCTGGAGACTCTGAGAGAAACCCTTGCTTTTCTTGCTCCTGGAGGCCATTTGCAGCTCTTGGCTTGTGGTCCCTTCCTCTTTTTCAGAGCCCGCAGCACAGCATGTCTTATCTCATCTTCTGCTTTAACTCTTCTACTTTTAGGGACCCTTGGGACAATATTGGGCCCACTTAGATAACCCAGGGAGTGCCCTCATCTTATGGTCAGATGATTAGTAACCTGAATTCCTCCCCAGTCTTAATTCCTCTTTGCCATATAGGGCAACACAGTTACAAGTTCCAGGGATCAGGACATGGGCATCTTTGAAAAGGGGCGTTATTGTGCCAATCATAGTCCCCTACTTTTTTCCTTTCACATCTGCCTATGGTAGAATATTTTCGCTGAGGTCAGAAAATATGTAATGTGCATTTCATACTAATGGCAAACATTACTAAGACGTTAAGTTTCTCTTTTTACTAATCTTATATTTGGCCTTAGAATCCTTGGGCAGATTGCAGCTGGCTTACAAGATGAAGTCAACTCGCTTTTCTGGAGGTAGAAATAATTTATAATATATGATTTGCAACAGGAGATATTGAAATAAGGCAAATTCCTATTTTTTTTGAAATGGCACGTTCTCTATTTATTTAGAATTCACTAAGTAAGATGTGAAAAATGGTGTGAGTCCCTTTGTTTGCAGAATGTTTTGCTATTTTTTTTAGATGCAGTTGAGTTCATACAGTAAGTGCACATTTTTTTTTTTGATGGAGACAGAAGATACCATCAGTTTTACTGCTGATAAAGCTCCCTTGGAGAATGTGGCTTTGCTGAGTGGTCAGATGATGATGCTTCACATCTGAGTTAGGCAGAGAGTCCTCTCAGTCAAAAGCAGGCCAAGAAACCGTTATGCAATCATAAACATCTCCTCTTTTATCAGCACTTCTCTATCTCATGAAAATATAGTTATAACTGCTTTCAGTGGCTGCTAAAATATGGTACCATAGGATGAGTACCATAGTTTACTTAATCCTAGTCCTCATAATTGGATAGTGTGGTTATCTCCACTTTTTGTTTTTATAAATAACCCTAAAATAGACACCTTAATTCTGAAAGCATTTCTTTGTCATCCTAAAATCTAGCAGGCTATAAAACACAGGGTGAAGCACACAAACCTCTGAGAATTCACAGATAGTGAATGTATTATATACACTTCTTGCAGCTACAATTAAAGTGCTGGGTCCCTGGGGTGGGACCAATGCTCTTGACCTTAGAGAAGTTCCCAAGAAGATAATTCGTTGGATATGATAGACTGCTGCTGAGCCAGGAATCTTTAAACATTAATAGACTTGTTCCTCTGTCTTTCTGTCCGACTCCTTGCTTTCTTGCAGATAAATTGGTTTGCCCATTGTTATATAGGGCAGTGTGACCCATAGGCAGGAATTACCTTATGGATTTCTCTTTCTCTCTCTTTTAGGTTCCTATAGTCCCATAGCTCTGTTAGAGGAATGTTCTCAGTGACTGGGCTGGTTGATTCAGTGGCAGTTGCCTTGCACATGAATCAAGAGACTGTTTTTAAGTAAAGTTTTATCTTTTCATTTAAAGAACTTGCTTGTTTTTGCTAGCATTGTCTGTATCATTGCACACTAAGTTTGAGAATTAGACTAAGTTTGATTTACTGGAGTCATACCAGCTATGAAGTTGGATTGTAATTACTGACTGAAAAAAAGTACTTGTGCTACATTAAGGTTGGGGGCAAGCAACAGATGAATGCCAGAGGAAAATCAAGTTGAGCTGGAATCATAACCCCATACAAAAATGGTTCTTGAGACTTACCATTCTCAGTGATTTGGGTCATTTTGCCTCCTCTCCCTTATCTCCTGCATTACTTGCTGGCTTGATTGATTAGCTTATTCATTCTAGGAAACTATGCAAGATTTCTCTTAGCATTCTTTTAGATATCAACATCTGAATATGGTATTTTAAGATAATTTTAAAATCCAAGAAAAATATTAACAGGTGAAATAATATTATTTTCCCTTAATATTGGCTTTTTAATATTGTCTTATTTTTATGAATGGTTATCTCATATAGGCAAAGTTATAAAAGGAACATGTTGCAAAGAAGAGTAATCTTGGGTATATGATAAAATGCCCAGCTTCACTGATTAAAAAAAATCAGTAAAACTGTTAGTGACAATAATGCAGTCTTTGATCAGAAGACTTGCAAATCCTTTGTCCTATGTGGAAGCACCCAGGCAGGACACATGGGTGTCATGGAGTTTTTTAAAAGTTAGGAAGAGGAATTGCAAAAGGGCAAGGTGGGTCCAGGTGGAAGTTGCCTCTTTCTCTTTTCAGGTGCTTTTAAAACTTACACTAGCCTCTTGGAAGGGAGATACCTGGTAATTCCTAACCACCAGTAATGGATGAGTGGGGAGGGGCATGGGTGGTCCCTGGGCCAGGTGGGGATAGTTGAGTTGTCCCCACACCAGGATGTGAATAACCTACACACATCTTTGCAGTTGAAAAGAAGGCTCAGAGAAAAAGAAGAATGTCCAACCTGAAATACAATATCAAGGCATATACATTGTAAGAGTCCCAAACTTTCCCCAATTCTAGTCTGCCTCAAAAACCAAATTAGAACATTGTTTTTTACGTAGGTTGGTAAACATTCAAAAGTTCAAGAGCACACTCCATTAGATGCCATGAGGAAATGGCCATGCTTATATATTGCTAACTAAAGAGAAAGTGGCCATGGCCTTCGGAGTCAGTTTGGCAAAATTCTCTCAAAATTGCAAGTACATGTACTCAGACTCAGCATTGCCGCTTAGAATTTGTCTCCTGAAGATAAGCTTGCAGGTATAAGAAGCCTTTACTATGCAGGGTTATTCCACAGAATCAACTGAAATGTCCATGAGTAGAGCAACAGTTAAATACACAATGCTGCATTCAAACCACACAATGCTCTTCAGATGCAAAAAAGTCCAGAAGGTC